CCTGGCTTGTCGGTGGCAAGCCTCATTGCAGGTTGCGACAAGCAAACCACCGAATGGCCGGTCAACGGAGTTGCCGTCATGTACATCCGGGTTTACACCCACCTTGACCTAAATCATCAAGATATTGAGGATGCCGGTCTCTACGTTGGTCGCTCAACGCGGGCTCAGGAGAGACACCTCGAGCATCTAAAGGAGATTGGAAAGCCTGAGCGCATGACAAACAGACCGACTCACTACGACATTGCCAGGAAAAGTTCACCGAACCGACGGCACGTGCTGATTGCACTTCATCAGCATGGAAGCGAAACTCTAGGAACTGGTGGAACCCCATACGCCGTACCAATGGCTGAACAAACAGTGAGTAACAAGGAATATCCCACCCGTGTGCCCCTATTTCCGGCTGGTGGAATATGCTCTGGACATGGTCGCTTTGCCTGGGGCTGTTCCTGAAGCAATACCTAAGTCTTAAAACATTAGGGGGGACTAACCTGGTTGATAGGTCATGTTTATGCTGAAGTCCTTCTCTCCGTGGACAGCAACATCTACCTCTCTCGACCCGTATGTCCAGCGTGCCCGGCTTCTCCAAGCAATTGAGAGACGGGTTCGCCAAAACACCGGCTTTCATGTCAACTGGAGTCCAAGATGCGGCACGAACGTTTCCAGTCCACTCTTCGAAATTTGGCTGGACCAGAAGAACTTGAAGCCCGCCGTGATGCAGTCAATCAGGGTCCTTCCACCCCACCCAAGACTATCAGCGAAAAGGATTTTCAGGTCCACATTTTCATTCTATTGCCGTCATAATAATAACAACGTCTATACATCTTTCAGAGGTCACCGTGTCGGGGGCTCAAGCCAGACAACTCTTATATCAGTGGGCCTCTCAGCGGAACTTACATCTCAAATCCGCCAAGACGTGGAAACCTCACCCTCGACGAAGCCTTTCTTCGCCACGCTCGTATTCGAGGTCATGGAGAACGGAGAACACAGTCGCCCATACTTCGGGTTGCCGGCGGTTGGTCAATATCGAAACTATGGGGCGGCGAACTGTCTGGGGATTCGGGTCGAATGGAAACATCACACGCAGCCTCGCTGGTTCACAGCCCCTCTCCAACTCTCACTACATGAACATGGACAAATGGCGCGCGCCTTACTGAGAGGAGATGCTACAAGGCTTACACGACGTTACCAAGAGGCTACGGCTCTCATCCAGATGCTCCGTGGGCAAGATAGTCCTAACGCCACGGATGGATTTTGGAGGTCCCTCGGTTTCCGCGGTAGTCGACCGGTGATTCAGCACCTTGAAACCGACCATCTGAATCAGACTATCCGCTGGGTATCCCCTCCCATTTCCTATCATGCCGCTTCACCCATAAAGGCTACAACAGAAGAGAATATGAGCTGGCTTCTTGATCACCGACGGAAACTATCGCCACATATGGTAATCGGCACCCGTCCAGAGGTCGGTGGTGCAGCTTGGGCACTCGACAAGAGGAGTATGTCAAGTTCAGGCCGCCACGGGGTTAGCCTAGTGGGGATACCCTGCGATACGTGCGTAATCCTCCGTTCTCGTAACCCCTACGGCCTTCAAACATGCGGCTACGACTCAGAGAGCGGTACTTGCACTACTTGCAGGGCTCTGAAGCGGTGTTGCACCTTCACTCCCCTCACAGGTATATTGACCGGATGGCTTGGGAGGGAACCCACCCCTGGTTTGCAGGAGGGGAAACATCTACCATACTACGGTGCAGGCCCAATGCGATGCCTAGTACCCCATTTGGGGATGCCGTTGGATGTGAGTTGGAAGGTCACGGAGATACCAGAACCTTTCGGCTGGGACTCTCTCTACTGCCAGGTTGACGCTGGCGAGCTGGACCCTGAAGCGGATGGAGATGATATTGAGGATGGCGACGATAGCGAGGATGGTGATGACGAAGGAGCGTAAGTGACGGTGTTGGTAGGGGTGGTTGCGATGCATTCTTGACTTCTTTACTTTGCTTTCAGTTCTATCAATTTACCTAGCTAGGTACCTAGGTACCTACCTAGCTAAGTTTATTTAGGGAAGGGGTTGTGTGGACTCACATTCCCTACACCTTCCTCATCTTGCTTTAAACCCCCTCTTCTGCCTACTTCCTTCCCTCGTGTAAGTTGCGCTTTCCTCACTTGCTAACGGGGCAGCGAGCACCAGATTTGCCCAAATAGAACGAGTAAAAATTCGCTCCTCGATCTTCTTGGTTTTCTTTCCCGTAGGCGAACATCATCATATTCTTTACCGACATGGCTCCTGCGGCGGATTCCGTAGGCCTTGAGCCTATTGACTTAACCCCTATCTCGCCCGTTGATGATGACGATTTCGAATGGCCAGACTCCCCCCCCCCCAGCAGCGCCGCCGTCACCCCCGCCGCTGCCAATCCTGACTCTCAGGTATACCATGAATCCAAACACTGCGCTCGGAGGTAGGTGCCTATATTCTTATCTTATCCGCCTGTGTTCTTGCGTTTGCGTGTTGTTGCTTACGCTGCTGTTTTACGTACTGTTGGTGCTCCTGTTGTTCCAAGCTAGCAATGCTGTCCTATTCGTGTTGTTATCCCGAGTCTGATGCACTGAGTTCCATGTTGATATCCTGAGCTTTTTATGTATGGTGGAGTTGCTTTCACCCCAAATGGTTCGTTTTTGTGACTAGACTCGAGGGTTTCCGCTATTACTCACTGAGCTTCTATGAGAACAACGTATTGAGTTCTAAGGTTGCCTAAACTCACTGTAACAGATCCAGATATTCGAGATAGCGTTTTTGACGATACCCATGTCGCCGCACGGACATACACGCTCAAGGCTTCACAAGCTGAAATCTACTCTAACATCCCGGAAGAAAGAATTGCCTGGGAATCGTTTAGCAGTGTTGCCTTTGCTTGCCGCGTCCGCGGCTGTAAAGCGTTTGGCCGTAGGTCCACATGCCTGTCACATCTGAAGGCTCACTTCAGGACAAATGTTCATCTATCAGTATGTAAAGCCTATTGTTATATTGAAGGTCATTCGTTCTAACGATGTAATTTGGGAAGCTACCTGATATCCCCCTATCTCCCGAGGATCCTCCCGATCTCCAAATCTTTCGATTCATCCCGCCGCCTCCAGACTCAGATGAAAGAGCGACACCGGATGAATCCATGAACGATGTACCAAAAGCTACCGAGATCCCGGATTCGTCCGGTGAATTTTCCCCATTGTCGAGTGAGGAATTGGAGATCCCGGATTCATCCAGAGAATTCTCCCCGTTATCGAGTGATGACGACGACGGGGGGATGAGTATCTGTTGATCACGCAACTTGAAGCTCTCCAGACATTCTATCCCCAGACATTCTACGGTGCTTAGATTTAAAAGTTGAAACCACCAACATAGTTTCATCGCACTCCGAGGTGCCCGTCGCGGGGTTCGACCCCATCTTCTTCCTGCATCATTGCAACGTCGACAGACAGTTCGCCCTTTGGCAGGCTCTCAACGAACAGAATCCCGAAAACTGGTTCGACAACCTCCAACAACCATACGATGACAACGGGACCTGGAACATTCCTAAGAATTCCGTCGTCACACCTGAAACCGCCTTAGCACCATTCCACAAAAATTCGCAGGGGGACTATTTCAACCCGAATGACATCAAGGACTGGCTTCCGCTGGGCTACTCGTACCCCGAGCTACAGCCTTGGCTAGAGGAGTACAAGACGGGCGGGACGTTTAACTACGCCAAGTACACGCAGGCCATTCGAAATCAGCTGAAGGTCCTGTATATGCAGCCCGCGCCGCCCAGCCTCCACGAGCCGTCGATGTCGGACATCATTGTCAACGTCACCTACGACCGGTATTTCTCTCCTACCCCCGACTCATGCCATGAAACCACGATCGCTAACACGCTACAGTTTCGCCTTCGACGGTGTTCCGTACACCATCTACCTCTTCGTCGGCGACAAGGCTGAGTACGACAGCTACCGAGACGACAACAACCAGCCGTGCCGCCACACAAGCACCCTCAACACGTCGGGTTCGTCTACACGTTCAGCAACCCCATCTACGGCACCGGTACCGAAGGCCGAGGATGCACCAAATGCGAAACCAAGGCCCGGGAGCATACGCGCTCCCGCGGCCAGATCCCGCTGACGGCTGCCTTGCTTGCCCGCGTCGGCCTCAAGCCGGGGGCCTCGCCGGGGGATGAAGGAGTGCCTAAAGGGATCCAACCTCTGCTTAGCCTCGAGAGGGACAAGGTGAATGACTACTTGGGAGAGTTCCTGCACTGGAAGGTCCAGCTGGTACGTCACAAATCCCCCCTACCCCAGTGGCAACCAGGTTCCAGTGAAACAGAAGCTAACGCAGGAGATAGTCGAACGGTACGGAGGTTCCGGTCCCTGATGAGGACGCGTTTATCCAGGTGTCAGCCTTCCATCGTGCTGCCCCTTCTGGTGATTATGATTCGGATGAGTCTTATCTGCCGCTGAAGAGGGCTACACAGGGCAAGCCGGGCGGTGCCACGCCCAGCGGCGGTTCCGCTTGATGGTAAAGGGGTTTTGCCATCTCACCAAGTCTTACGGGTGGCTGGTACGAACTGTGGAATGCATCTGTGTTGGGATGAATGTTTAGTAGTTCCTCGTTTCTGAGTTAGTTTGAAATTGATGCACCAACTCTGGCAAGATATGAACGAATTCGTAGATGCCTACCACCGACCGATGACTTGGCTTCAAAATTGCCCGGGATGAACAACGATCAATAAGTACCTACCTAGGTAGGTTTGCATTTCGCCGACGCCGTGTCCTTGGACCTGGCCACCGAGCTCCGTTGGTAGGTACTGATGTAGGAATTCGGGAGAACACGTATTACAATCACCAGATGGTAATGGAAATGGAGGTGAGCTTGGGTTTGTCTCATCTAGGTAGCTGACAGGGAGGACCGCAGAGTGAGCGTGACAAAAAGGCGGAAATAAAAACAGGAAAATGATGAAAAATGGCAAAAATATCTTTGACAAAGACGAGATTCGAACTCGCGCGGTTTCCCACTAGAGAAAATCAAAGGATTTCCTAAATCTAGCGCCTTAACCACTCGGCCACTTTGCCATCCGTATGGGTACTGCAAAATCGAGTTCAGGTAGGAGTATCCACAGTCAGCCATAGCTCGTCTCAACAGCAGTTCAGAACCCCAAGAGGGTTCTGACCCAAACCGCTTTATCAGACGATCCACATATAATAGTAGCCCAGCGGTACTCGCCAACTGCCCGGTCTGGTAAATAGGAAAATGGCCAAAGTCCCCCTTCGAAAGCAGCATGATTCGGAACTCTCGGCACCGGCGGACGTCAAACACAAGTCCGTTTCTGGCGATGGGCCTTTGCTCGCCGAGAGGTGGGCCAACTGCCACCCACCCAGCACGACGTCAACCCTGGAACCGAGCAGGGAATCTTGGGGCATGCAGCAGGTGTTGGGGGCGCCAAACGGTGGAATGTAACGGTACTACCGGGTCTTCCAATGGCAGATCTCCAACCTTAAATGAGGATCCTAACGTAACCGCTTACAAACCCTGATGCGGGGGATGGCAAAGGCTGGGGGGACCACAGGGAATCAAGTCAGACGGCAGTCAGGGACAAAAGGATTCCGGGCCGAGTCAACGTCGACGGGCAGCAGTGCCAGCAAAACATGTGAGAACTAAAGGTCAGTGCAACGCATCTCGAAGTTAGCTTTACATTGGGTGGCAATTTACGCGCGAGTAGGGTTAATGACGGTTAATATCGACAAGGTCCCGTCCCCTTTGGCAGCAGCTGGCAAACGAATGAAGCAACTAGGCTGGTCACCGGACATCGGCACACGTGCCACACTGTGGGATGACAGATTAAGGAGGAGATATGCCCCGTTGGTTCTGATGCTGTCAAATCCCAGTAACCGGGAACACACCTGCCTACACCGGAACTAGCACCGTAAAGCTCCGGGGGGGCATCCGTGGGACTAATCGGGCGATCCATGGATCGGTACTCGGTGGAACTCTCCGAGGGACTTTTGGGCCATCTATGGGGGTGTGATAATGACGCGTCTGCCACAGATGGCTGAGTATTTATTTGATTGATTGATTACCGCCCTTCGAAGAGTCCCCATCTATAAAACAGCCAACCTCACATCATCCCCCATATCCCCTACCTGACCTTACCCAGACCACCCCCCACCTAAGGTAGTACCTTACTATACCCACCCGAACCTCTACACAGGTACATAAATACACAAAAAGCACAATGCGCACCACCACCGCCCTCCTCCTGGCCCTCACAACCCTCCTCCCCGCGGCGGCAGCCTCCGCCACCAAAGACTTCACCGGCCTCGGGCAGCTGCGCACGCTGTACATCGGCAGCGACCACGACGACCTCGGCTGCGTGACCAGCGCCGGCAAGTGGACGACCGACGAGTCGCAGTGCGGCGTCTTCTCGGCCGAGCGGATCGCCAACGGCCAGTTCCAGCTCTTCGCGCCGCAGGAGGCGGGCGGGTGTGGCGTGGAGGTGGCGACGTTCAAGTGCGGTCGGGGGGTGAAGGGGGGGATTTTCGGGGTTCGTAACCTAACCTAACTTAACCTATTCCCGGCACGGCTGGTAGATGGTTGATTATTGTGGCTAATGTGGATGCTTGATTAGACGTTTGGGACAGCGGGCCCTATTCCCGGCAGGGAGGTGTTGAGGTATGCGCAGTATGGTGTCCTAGCGACGAATGCGCCCGACAGCCCGCCGTCACCAGAGGATGCGCCGTTGGATATGCACTTTTACAGTGGGAGTGAAAAGGGAAAGTGGGTGTGGCTAGGGTGGAAGCCGCTTTATGGGGAAGAGGAATAGGTGTGAGCAGAGGATGTGTTTAACCATTTGGAAAGGAGTCCCAGGTTGCGGCTCATCTTGGGCTTGATGCAGAACTTGACCTAACTGGTGCTTTCCCTATGACTGATCTTGCCTCGCCCAGGCCGTGCCATGTTTCGCAAGATTTGGGACATGTGAACCCCTTCACATGAACTGCCCGTAGAACTAAGCCCAAAAGTATTAGCTAGCACCCCCGGGCCAACAAAAAAGCTAAACTCTGAAGGAAAGTAAGAAATAAAGTAAAAGAGGAATCAGGGGACAAACATCTCAAAGGGTCAAAAAAGAAGAAAAGAAAAAAGAATCAAGTAAAAAAAGAAATTTAGGAAACGGAAATCTGGGGGGGGGGGGGGGGGGGATATTAATTAAGCTATTAAAAAGAGATTAAGTGAAAAAGAAATCACGCAAAGAAAAATAGAAGAAAAAAGGGAGAAAGTAATATAATAGATGTAGGTACGTACCTAGGTACCTAAGTTCAAGATACTAATAGAGGTGAACCTTGAACCTAAAGGGAGCTACGGGCTTCCAAATTCGTGCCACCAAAGGATTTCCAGGCAATTCTTTCTTCTGGGATTTGGGTGTGTACAAGTAGCCTTGCATAGCTCGCGATGTATATATCCGTGCGGCGACATAGGGGGGTTAAACTGGAAAGGAGGAACGTATAGGGGATGTAAAAGTCCACACACTGGCTACCTGATGCCTTCCATAAGGTGATAAAACTGAAAGTAAAGTAAACAAATTCCTTGTAACCGCCCCTACCAATACCTTTCCTTACGCTTCCTCGTTATTACGAGGTATCTTCGTCGGCGTACCCTTATTTCCATCTCCATCCGCTTCAGTATCCCGCTCGTCCGCGTCGACATCGTAATATAGAGACTCCCAGCCGAAAGACTCTGGTATCTCCATGACCGTCTAACTTACATCCAGCGGCACCCCAAAATGGGGTACAAGGTGCCGCATTGGGCCCGTCCTGTAGGATGATTTTAGCCCGGCTTCTACAAATCAGGCGTGGATTCCTTACCACAGTATCCGGCCAATAAACCCGTGAGGACTGGAGGGGACATGGTGAACACTGACAGCACGGACAGACCTTTAACCACGACACACACTATTGCGTGCCCCAATCTCGTAGTCGAGAAATCCAACCACCGGGACAGTAATGCGAATGAAACGTTGGATTCACGACATCATAGTGCGAGCTAGGGGCTGAGTCTGCTCTCTCTACGAAAGACCTTGATGACCGTCAAGGAAGCAACTCCTGTCATTCAGGTTTAAAAAAACTCGTCCTCGGTATAGTCGTCTTCACCTGCCATCATTACTTGGTTTTTCTTTTCCCCTTGTTCTTCGTTTTGCGGCCAGTGGTGTCCCACCGCAATCGTGTGACCGAAGTGTCCGTCCGGATGCAACCCGCCACTTGTTCCAGCTGACAGACTCATTGCCCCTTTTATTTCCGAGATGCCACCGCATGAGGTCGGGGAAGCCAGCGGGCAGCCTCGGCTTCTGTACAAGTCTGGTCTGAGAGAAAACTTGGAAGGAGCTTCTTGCTCTTCCTTGACGCTGTCTGCATCGATAGTTCCATCGTGGTCGACTGCCGGGTTGGCTTCTCCAAAGGACGCATACCCCGACCATGTGTATTCAGGGAAACTGACTCGGAGGGGCTCGAACGGGGGCGGCGGACTGGTTGTTTCCGGGTCAGCCCCCCACGGTGTGACAGGATCCGGTGTTGACCATACCCGATCGGGGCTCAAGAGCGCCAGATCTCCGTCCGCCTCTGGCAATGTGATTGCCTGCAGGTCGTTGGGGACATCTGCCCACTTTTTAGGGACCGCGCATGAACAGCTACAGGTGCACGAACTAGATGGGGGCGGAAGCGCGGTGCAATTCCGCGGGGGCATGCAACACTCGCAGCTTGGTCCGCCCCCTAGCTGAACGCTGTCCTGATTCTCGGTCCTCGGGTGTTCGGCACCGAAAAGTACCGGGTGCAGCTCACCTCTGGTGGCATACCAAACCGCCGCTTTCAAGATAACATCCAATACCTGAAGTTCGTCCTCATCCCGTGGCGCATAGATCAGAACCAGCCCCTCGGGCACGGGCAACCGCTGCTCCATCAACCCATGAAACAGTAACCTGAACCAACGTTTGTCATTGGCACAGAGGGGATGCCGCTCACCCCACCCCGCTTCTATCACCACCGCGACATCGTCGGGATGCAAGACGACGTGGAGGGAACCGTCCACACCGTGGACATGGGCGATCTCACCGCCCCATTCTTCGGGTTGGTGGATGGCGCCCGCGGGCCGGTGCCCAATGTTCCAGCAAAGAGCGTCATTCTCGGGCTCGAGGTAGGACCTCTTGATCTGGAGGTGGTCGTGGTGTCTGGCCGCATAGGCCCCGAGAAGCATCTTGGTCTCGTAAAATAGTGCCCGGGATGCGCGCTGGTTAAGCTGCTCGGTGGGGATGGTGCGGTTGACCGTTGGCCGCCTCCCCGGTCTCTTGGGGAGGGCAGGAAGGTACCCATGGTCGGAGAATTCGCCAACTCGAAGTCTCGGGGGCTTGAGCACATCGACTTGGGCAAGGGCGGTAAGAGCCGTGTGGGCGCACCAGCTCTTGAAAGTAACTACTCGCTTTTTCCCCATGACCGGAACGGTATCGAAATACTTGCGGTATGAACTCCATGCCCACACTGCACACCCAGTGGTGATATAAACCCAGCAAAGCTGGCACGGCGTGAAGGTTTGCATCAGATGGTATGAGAGGAAGAAGCACAGCCCTACAACCCAAGGAGAGCGGTCTATCCGGAAGGCGATCAAGACAGGCATGAATATTAGAACACAATGCCATAAAAGTTCCAATATGCAAGCTAACTCGTGTATGATTGTTTGTGATATGCTCCGAGTTGAGAGATGGAACCCATTCTCTAGTGTGCGTCGAAGCCCGGTCTTGATCTATGTTGAAGGGAAAGATAAATTACTGCACGTGGGAGATGTTGCATTGGAGCCAGTAGTAGTAATAGTGATACCTGAAAGCATTTTGTTCCTTGTTGTAAGTTGGCTTTACAGAGCTGTTTCGACGAACAAACCGTTTGTTGCCACAAAACGTGAGTTTGAGTCCGTTCAATGTCTGGCTTTGTCAGCATGGAAGGCTCTGTCCCCAGATGCTTGTCGTCAACTGCAGTGCGATCGCGCCGGAGTACATGTAACTGCCTTAGGTAGGTAGTATATGGCGTAGGAAACATGC